AGCTTATCCTTTCTTGGTGGTGTGTAATTCCCTTTTGACGATAAGTGGCAGTCTCTTTTGAAAGCTTATCAGGGTGTTCCCCCCCCCCCCATAAAGTCCAATTATTTTGGCATATAAAAGAGTTTAATTACCCTGTATCTTTCCTGGTGTTTCCTGAAGATCTCGTTCTTTCTTGTTTGAAAACTCCAACATTCGTTTGCATGACCCCACTGCTATGTGGATCCTGCTTTAACTTTTTCCCTAGAGTGTTAGCCGTCATGCTTGAACCTGTTGGTCAACTATTCTGGATATTCCCCATTGGAGACCGTCTTTCTAGTTCTACCTCCAGTGAGGATCTTTTGTCGTCTTGATTTCTAAAGTGTCAGTTGGTCATGCTTGAACCTGTTGATCCATCACTTTAGATTTCCCCAGTTTGTTTCGGTTCTCCAGTGCATTGTCATCCCCAGCGAGTGGTTACTCATTGTGTAAACTTTATCCATGTTTGCTTTAGTTTTTGTCTGCATTTTACATTTATCATTCCATCATTATCATCATGCTAGAGTTCACGGCATGTCAGCATTTGTAGGTTAGTCTCTTTTGTCCAAGCATTGCATGTCATTGCATCGAAGGGAAAAAAATCCAGTTATCTATATTTAAATACATTTCCCTGTGATTTCATGAAGATTTTCATTGTCATGTCATCTGGTGAAGATATTTAAATAGGGGCAACTGTTATGCCCCAAATTTTACCCTTAGATTCCTTGATCTTTCGTACGTCATTCTAGGTCAATCATCCATGCATAGTTAACCAATTTTTTTTAGTTTTTATTTGTTTTGTAAAGATAGGTTTGTTGAAGAAGGTTCATAGGTCATAGAGGCTTTGTGTGTGTCCATAATCCCATGCAAGTTGTGTTGAATTCCTGTGGATATAAAAGAAAGGCAAAATACTCTTTTTGGTCCCTTAATTATACCATTGGGTTTAGATTGGTCCCTTAATTATTTTTTGTGTCAGATTGGTCCCTTAAGTCTTTAAAATGTGTCATGTTGGTCCTTTTTGTCTAATAAGCGACGAATTTAGCGATCGAATTTTTATTTTTTCCGTAGCTAATTTGACGAAAAGGACTAACGTGACACGTTTTAAAGAGTTAAGGGATCAATCTGACACGAAAAATAATTAAGGGACCAATTTGAACCCAAGGGTATAATTAAGGGACCAAAAGGGGTATTTTGCCTAAAAGAAAAGTTATGCCCTCATTCTTAGTCCCCTAGCCAGTACAAGGTCAATGTTTCTCCAAATATTTCTCAGAGGTTTCCCCCAAGGAGGATTAAGGTTTTCTGTTCTTTGGTTTCGAGGATGGTCATTCGAGAATCAGTTGAAATTTTGGGGTGTGTTGTATTACAAATGGTACCCTCATTTTTAAAGGATTTCTCCTAGCATGGTTTGGTCTTATACGCAAAGTGGATTATTAGCTGTCAAGTGGAATAATTTGGATTTTGATAATTTGTGAACTATACGATTTGAAACGTTAAATTAAAAAAAAAAAAAACTTGGAATCAAGTTTAGGCAAGAAGCTCTCAAATTGAAGTTCAAGACTCATGTTCTATACAAAGTTCAAGTGAATTCATTATGTTTCTAACTTCAAATCCAAATTCGAGCTCCATATACAAGTTGCAATTTCAAAGAGGTTTTTGTATACCATTTCAAGTTAATATTCAATTGGGATTACGCCATAAACCATCAAGAGTTTTAATTCAAAAGGAGTTTTTAGCATGATTAAATTCCGCTAAATTTTAGGATTCAAGTTATCATGAAAATTCAAGACTTTGAAGATTGAAATCCAAGGTTCAAGATTCATGTTTTTCATAAGGTTTATGTGGAAAGAAACAAGACTCAAATTCAAAGTTATCATGGGGTTCAAGTTTTCAGTTTCAAGTTTTAAGAATGTAAGTTCAAAGTGGATTCAAAAAAAAAATTCAAAAGGGCACGAAAATTTATTACAAGTCATAATATCTTGTTACAAGAAGGAAAATTATAAAGTATGAATGAGAATCAAGAGTTATTTAATTTTCAAAGAAATATGCCTAAACACAATCCAAAACATGTTTATGACGAGTGTAAAATCATTTCCAAAACATGATCGATTTTTATCTGATCCATTTCCAAAACCATTCACAAACATATTGAACTTAAAAAGGAAAAGATCATAACATGTTCCTCATCATCAATTTCCATTCTCCAAACATGTTTAGACAATATTCAAATACTTTCCAAAAACAACAGTAAACATGTCCCAACATGCTCAAATCAGAATGGAAAGATTTTCATCACACATGCAACACAAAACATTGCAGCATTATTTCACATTGATTTTAGAAATTAAAAGTGAAGTCTATAAATTGCATAAGGCATCAATTAACAGGATGGACAAGCAAGGTACGACTGCGAAAAAATAGAACAACATCACAAACATCATACACAGTTCGAGTCGAAACAATAAACAACAGCAACAACACACGCATGAGAAAAGAAGGGAAAGAATCGTGAATTGCATACCTATAGAATTTTCTGGCTTTCTCGTGTTAATAATATCGTCTAAGACGCGTCGGACGAACTCCGACAAGTAATCTCAACCATTTCTTCTCTTTTACCGCATATCTGAACATTCAAATTGTTGTTTTTTTCCAAATGGATGGGCCTGTCCCATGTCTCATTTTAAAAAAAAAACAATATTTTTTATTCTAATTTAATTTTTTATTTTTATTTTAAGTTTCAACTATCTTTTTCTCTAGTTCGGATTTAATATTTATTTATTGAGTAATAATTGCATTTTTTTTTTAGTAATTTGAATTTTACTCAATTGATTAATCCGAATTTGTATGATTCTAATTGATTAATTAAGTTTCCATTTAGCCTTTTTTTAAAATTACGTCGTGATACGAATCATTGACGATCTTGGTTTACCGTGTTTTCCTTAGGATATTCTTGATTAAATTTAATCCCCGACTAATTGACTCAAAATAGACTTTAGGGTGAATTTTCGTGCATGACGACATTTGGCCAGTTTCCTGTTAAAACTTGATCTTAGGTCATAACATTAAGTTCTTACCCTTCATCCTAGCCTTAGAATTGGAGTCGCCGCACTCCATGTAAGTTCCTGCTATGGGCATTCACTCTTATTTTCCCTTTATCCTAGCCATAGGATCGGAGTCATCGCACTCCATATAAGTTCCTGTTATGGACACTTACTCTTCTTTTCCCTTTATCCTAACCATAGGATCGGAGTCGCTACACTCCATGTAAGTGTCCTACCACAGATACTTACCCCTTCTCCCCCTTTTCAACTCAATTTTAGATTTGGAGTCGTTGCGCTCCACGTAAGTGTCTCACTATGAACACTTACTTTCCCCTGGAACCTTGACCTCAGTCAAGAGTTCCTCACCCTTGTTGAGGGGAACTACGAATGCTCTAATTCCACTCTCGTCAGGATACGTAGGCACGAGATGCGATGTCTTGGCGAGCATACTTAGAAATAACACTTTAGGTCTCTTTTCAACCCTTAGCATACAGATAACACATAACAAATAACACAAATAAAACAAGAGGTTCCTGTATAGTACTGCAGATGCTTAGGATGTTAACACCTTCCCTAAGTTTAACCAGCCCCCGAACCTTAGATCTACTGCACTGTTTTACAGTGCAATTAGGATTTTCTTTGATCTTTACTCTTTCCTTTGGATAAATCAAAACTCGGTGGTGAACTCAAAGATTTGCGATTCAAGTTAATTTGATAGCTTGACGCAACAATATATGTATAACGTTTCGTTCTTGTGACGATTTCAATATAACATTTTATTTTGATATCTGAAATTTAGTACGATTTTATATACGTTCAAAAATGCATTTTCGAATTCATAAAGAACATTTTCGAATTTTCAAAAGTGTGAATACCCAATAGAAAGAACATCTTTTTAATTCAGCTCAATGCAGCTGCATGATCCTTTTGCTGCTCAAATTATATACAACGGATCATCTCATCATCATCATATAATCATTTTCACACTATTAACGTTGTAGAAGCTTAGAAACGTATTCTCGTTTTAGTTTTTGTTCTTGAAATGCTTCGGCTTAAGTAATAATATCATGCTTTTATTAAAATTTATTTCTTGTGCACTATGTTATTCTTTACCTATTTTTCTTTATTTTAATCATGTTTGAGTCATCACCTACCAATGTTGAGATGGTGGGAACTCCAATACTAGACTTTTTTTATAAAATTCATTCTAATTCTTTTCGATAAAACTCTTTAATTTAGTCTTAACGAATGTGACTTATCTAAACTATTCATCATTGTATATCCTTCTGCTGCTCATGATTTTTCCCTTAAAGATGGTTTGACAATTGCATTAGCATTTGTCAAAGATTGGCCTATAAAAAGATGTATGTCTTGACATGTGATAAAGGATCCAAATTAATAAATACTAACATTCAGAATCATGTGTAGTGGAGTATTATCCAAAGTCAAAAGATTTTGCAACCTCATCATAATCTAGTAGGGTAAGCTTCTTGACTTACCTCTCACTCACTGTACTAAAACACAAACAACACAATTCACTACAGTTGCATCTATGACTTTCTACCTAATTACACCACTACAATACCAACTATAACAAAAATTGGTAACCGCGTGTCAATATCATGTCAAACACTGACACGTGTCGTGTCAATATCATGTCAAACACTGACACGTGTCAGACAACCCGTGAGTGTGAAGTTTTGGTGCTACACGGCTCAGAATACAATAAGAACAACTAGGGTCGATTACATGAATCAACTTTCGCCGTAATATTCTTTTATAATTTTTCAGAGTACACTCAACATTAATTGCTAAACATCAGCAATCTCACCTAGAAATGTTATGAGAAGCTTGGCTCTGAAATATGATATGTACATTCTATTACCTACAGAGGTGCCACAGGGAATTAAGTTCTTCCAAGTTTGAAGATTGTGTGTATCTGCAGTTTCAAGTATAGAGAGGCGACAATGAGATACGCGGATAAGCATTGTGACTCTTCGAACTAGCACGAGATGTGTTGTTCTTTGCATGGCTAACGTCATCAGCACTTTTTCTCCGATGTCGCTTTTGATTTCCTACATTCACATTCGGAACCTTCAGCTGCTCCAAAATATTAACAACTTCATCCATGTTGGGCCTGTACTTGGATTCTGTCGATAGGCATCGCAAAGCAAGGGTGGCTACCTTGAAGGACTCGTCTGCTGAATACTGCCCTTCGAGCCGACTGTCAATCACGTTGAAAATCTTACGTTTGTTCGCCAGATATGGTTTAGCCCATTCCACCAAGTTGTGTTGTCCAGACGGTCTATTCTTGTCAACTGCCCTCTTACCGGATAACATTTCAAGCAGGACAACTCCGAAACTATAGACATCACTCTTCGTAGTAAGATGACCTGCATACAGTAACGATTTTATCGGTGGAAATAGAAACAAGAAACACTAGAAGTAAACGGTTCCTAATAGTTTAGCAGCACGAACTCGAAAATACCTGTGGCTAGATACTCAGGAGCTGCATATCCGTAGGTTCCCATTACCCTGGTGGAGACATGACTTTTGTCACCAGTTGGACCATCCTTTGCCAACCCGAAATCAGAAAGCTTTGCATTATAATCCTGCAATCAAATCAAGAAATACGTTTCGGACATGTAAGCCGAATAATCTCTTAAACATTTACCAATCCTCTTTAAAAGAATCGAAGTGTACATACAGAATCCAACAAGACATTCGAAGTCTTGAAATCTCTATATATCACTTTATTTTCAGCACTGTGCAAAAACGCAAGCCCTTTGGCGGCGTCAAGAGCAACCTTCACACGCAAGCTCCATGAAAGAGGTTGAAAATATGATCCTCCTGTTTCGAATTTCAATAATATTGCCAATGTTAAACAAACATCTTCCGAAGTTAAAAATTTAGGAAAAGATGGGAAAGGAATAGTGTCTCACTCCTGAATAAGTGATTCTCCAAGCTTCCACGAGGCATAAACTCATAGGCAAGAAGGCGGTGTTCATCTTCAAGGCAATAACCAATCAATTTCACCAGATGAGGATGAGAAAATTGTCCAAGATAGTTGACTTCGGCCTAAAAGTGAAAACAGAAACATAAATTTCTTAGTTTTCCAATTGTAACGAATCACAAACATAGTATTATTGAAAATGCAACATGTTTTAAGTGAAGGAACATATACTACAGGCGTTTGGATTAACTTATTTGAACTTATCGATTGGCATAAACATTGGCGGTATTGTTGGAGAAAGATTATGGAAACAACTTAAGACTTACTCATAAGTTGTTTTCAGTTTATTTCTATTAAGTCTACAAGATAGCTTACGAAAACAATGTATAGCTTATATGAAAACAGTTAATACATAAGCACTTAATTAGTTTTTTAGTTAAACAAGACCTAATTCAGAGAGCTTAGAAGAACCAAGATGACAAAAAACACCTTGAAATTGCTTATTTGAATCAATAGTTAACCAAACAATAACAGATTAGAAACAATTGATTTAACAAGTAGATTAAACTCACCAACCACTCTCTGTGACCTTGGCAGCTTTCAAGATTAAGTCTCTTAACAGCAATAACAATTCCAGTACCAGGTTTAGCAGCAGACAACGAATTCTCATCAATCCAACCCTTAAAAACAGATCCAAAACCACCTTCTCCTAACACACTATCAGGCCGAAAATTTCTAGTGGCAGACTTAAGTTCTGCTAAGGTATAGCTCTTTAATTTGGATGACTGCAAGATTTCACCTTCGCTTCGAGGAGTCTGAGGCACTGATGCAGCTGAAACCCTACTGTTTGAGCTACTCAGATCATTTCCAGCTGAAGCCGAGTTCTTCGAATTTAACCCTGCTAACCGATCCATTTCGATTAGAGTTAAAACTTTCATGAATATCAATCACATCAAATGTAACATACAGTGAGCTATCAAACTGGATCTTCAATTGTGTTTATACAGTAAAATGGATCAAATTGGCATCTTTGGGGAGAAAAGTAAAACATTCATGACATGAAAATGCTATTGCTATAGGAGCATCAAAACAAGGTAAAATTCATCATGGTTTTTGATTATTGGAAAGACATAAAGGATCAAACTTTGAGGAAATAAAATGAAATTGAGAATACCCAAAAGCAATAAACATGAAAGTGACTCAAACTTAAATCATTAGCATACAAGAAATGAAAAGGGTAGGAACAAAAAGAAAGAAAAATGAAGAAGATATACCAGTGTTATAAGGAGTTTCAGCTTTGATTTGAGCGCTTAAACAAACTCCCATGTTCTCTGAAGATTGTAATATCCTGCACTACTGCAGAAACCATGAAACTTGAATTGAATAAACTAATCTAAGGTGTTAAGTTAAAAAGTGAAAATATGCATGAAGAAAAAGAATAAAGCTAAGAACCTGTGCCTGTGGAGAAGCTACCGAGAGAGAGAGAGAGAGAGAGAGAGAGAGAGAGAGAGAGAGAGAGAGAGAGAGAGAGAGAGAGAGAGAGAGAGAGAGAGAGAGAGAGAGAGAGAGAGAGAGAGAGAGAGAGAGAGAGAGAGAGTTGGAAAGGAACAAGGAAGGTGAGGTGAGGTGTGGTGACAGACTCGCATCACACAGTAGTATTCATGAAATTGTGGAATGAAAAGAACCATTTTTTTTTTGTTTCTTTTATATTACTCTTTTCATGCTTCTCTTGACTCAAAAGTCAAAATCTTATCTCAAATTTGATGTAACATTCTATTTATATAAAAAAAAATTATTTATTAAATTTATAAAAAAAATTATTTATTAAATTTATTTAATAAACAATGTATTTGATCAAAATATACATCAGATATATTAGTTATTTAGTTATCATATAAACATAAAAAATATTTTTTTTATAAATTAAACCAAGATAGTAATATATAATAAAAGTTAGGTGAATATCAAAAAATTCAAATAAATATTATTAATAAGATTTTTTTTTGTTTTGTTTTTACAATTGGTGTGTCATTGATACTAAGCATTTTGAATAATTAGATAAGTGGTTAAAAATAAATTGTTTTTCTTTTAGTTTAACACGTCTTATATATTTTTGGAGCAAATCTCACACATATTTAAAAGAATTAAATATGTATTAAAATAACATTATTAATAAAAATTTAAATACTTTAGTTTTAATTAAAATATTTATGATCTTTTTAATAATAGATAAATAAATGAAAATTGAATATTATCATAAATGTAATGGTATTATTGTTTTATATTTTTGACATTGTGGGATTTTTGGGCATAGTGATAGAGTTTGCTTCATAGCTCATTACATATTTACAAACATGTTATAAATTTATAATCAATTTTTTTGGTATTAAAAATAGAAAAATAACAACTTCCTTTTGAAAAGGGGAATTAAGGTGGTATTTGGTGTTTGGTATTCTTTTATGCATTTTTTGTTAACTACCAACTTTATGGTCCCTCTCTTATTGGTCATTTTAGGCTGTTTTCTCATTTATATTTATTTACTATTATTATTACTACTACCACAACCTTTATCTTGTCCTTTTCTTTTTAATGTTTTCATGTTCTTACGTTATCCTATTCTGTGTCTTGTCTTGCTTCGCCTGTCTTTTCTATTTCAACTTGAATAAAGATCAAAGTTTGATTTCTTTTTTCAACATCAATAGTTAATAATTATTATTATAGAGTATGGATATCCTATCATGGGAATAATGGTTCTTGACTTAATTGATTTTAAGAGATTTTTACTCTTGTGTCCTAGTTTTAAAAAATATTGAAAAAAAGAATTTAGAATGTCCTAACTGTAATGCATGCTCGTTTATTCAAGTGGCAAGTAGATAAAGATTTTATTAGCATGAGGGTGTTCGTCCATTCAAGTGACGAGTATGTTGGTTTTTTTTTCTTCATATTTTTTATAATGTTTAATTAATTAAAATAATAATTTGTATCTGTATTTTTCAAGAATATGGGCAATGATCACCTTCACTTTAAGTGAATCGTCGCGGTTGACAAGCTCTCTAATGTTGTGGCTAATCATTTCTGCATTGAGCTTCCTATGGCCTTGTTCCATAGACGTGGTAGTGCATGTGTGAGACCCAGACAACTTACCAATCATCCATTTTGAGTTCTTTTTTCTCAAGGAAGCTCTGCATTTGAAATTGCAGTCTTGTTTCTTACATTTAATTACATATCGTTCATTGTTAGATTGGTAAACCCAATAGTCAACACTCTGTGTTATATGCCAATGTTGCAAAGCGAAAATGCAAGCTTCCTTGTTTTCAAACTCCATCTCAATCTCTATTTCGTCACCTATATGGTTTGGTATGACACTTCTAAACACAGAGATTGGTTCGTCATCTTCCATACATATATTACGCATATGTGCAGGTGGGTTGTACAAGCTTATTGGTTCGACGTGAATCGTCTGCGTAGACGCGACTATTATATCTCCATCATCCTCGTCATCGCTGTTACCAAAAATATCTTGCATACTGACCTCTTGAAGATCATCGTCGCTTGCTTCCCCAACCTCTTCATTTGGTATGAAAGGTTCGTTGTTTTGTGTTGGTTTGTCGTCAGATGTTTGGATCATTCCATATTGGTGATTGTGTCTCTTGCATCGAAAATGTTTCGGCATTGTCAAGTAGACGAACATACAACTCAATTGTGGGTAACTGACCAAACATCACGTGGCACTGAAACATTTCTTCCACGTCTTTGTTGTTCCTGATCGGCGTCATTACGTAAAAAATTGTACCGTCCTCTCCATTAAGTAATGGATGACGATAAATAATCTCCCCAACAAATTGTTCTAATGCATGCAAATAAATTTTAGCACGTGTGTGCTCGTCTACTCAAAGGACGAGCATGTTCTAACCTAGTGTCTTCTCGTCCAATCAGATGGCGAGCATGGTCGTCTCAAGTAGCATCTCATCACCTCAAGTGGCGAGCACATGAGGGCTGCAGAGTTGTTCTCCATGCAAGGTACAACGTGTAAGCCCTAAGTAGTAGCCTTGCATGCATTCCATGCAATTAACCAATTCCAATGCCATGCAATATGCAGCGTAATGTCACTTCTACTTGCACATTTATTTATGACTCACTAACTATCCTTCTATCAATTCATGCCTGTTAAAACATTTCTTCAAACATTTTTACTCCTATCACAAAACACTCTTGCAATAAAATCAAACATTTCTTCACCTCTCACAAAATTTCTTCAAAATGTCTTTGTTGTGGATGGGCGATGAACACTGTGGAACACAATCAAACATTCAAGCTAGTGTAAGGTTTCCTCTACTATTCTATGTAATAATGCTTATAATATTTGTGTTCACTATTATTTCCTTTTTTTCAGACTAATGCAAGGTTTCGAGTGCATTCTCATGCTCCCATTTAAGCAAGTGCGGGAATAATCCCGTATTTAGAAATAGCAGGTTTTACTAATATCGCAAAAATAAATAGTCTAAAAATGAAGACCAGAAACACACACGTTTCATTTCTCAACAGGTGAATGCACAATAACATTAGAAGATGTGAATATGTTACTTGGTCACTGAGTTGATGGAAAAGCTAATAACGGTCCTACCGAAGTAACAAATAATGTTTACATGGAGAACTTAGGGGTGGAACCTACTGAAGCTGATAAAAACAAAGGTGCCATTATGATTACTTGGCTAGAGAATTTATACGAAGTTTTAAAAGTAACTCTCCCCCAACCCAAGTACATACTATTTTACAAGTTAAAGTTTATATTTTACTTGTAATTGCTACTATTTTGTTTCCCGACAAGAGTCAAAATCTTTTGCATTCTTCTTGGATTCCTTTCGTAGGGGATCTAGAAAAATGCAACACCTTTAGTTGGGGTTCTACTTGTCTTGCAAAACTGTATAGAGAAATGTGCAAGGCTGCAGTAAAAGATGTCAGGAGTATGAGTGGTTGTATTCTTCTACTCACTACATGGGCATTCATGCGTATACCTTTGTTTGCTCTTGTTAGTGCATTGCATTCATCATTTCCATACGCTCAAAGGTACTACTAGATTAAAAGAAAACTTTATAATTTGTGTTAATAAATTATGCCTAACATTTATATATTTTTTGTTTCTGCAAGATGGGCCCAAAGACGCATGAATTACAACGTTAATCCTCGTTTCCATCTATAAAGGTATCAAAACGCATTGTACCACATGCAAGAAAAAGACGCGAGTTTGAAACCATAGAACCTACTTGTTGCATATACTTCTTAATTGTATTATAATTTTTTTTAATATGTGGTCGTTTATATGGAGGTCGTACATTCAATTTCCAGTGCCCAATTTTAGAGATAGTCAGCTCTAGAGTGCTACGACTTCTCTTATATGTTTCTATACTGTTGAAATGCATCAAATAGATAGGGTAAAACTCCAATTTGGGTTTGAACAACAAATCTTTTCCCAGCTAAGGTGTCTAAAGGAACACCACACAATGACAATGAAAGAATCCCAAAAAGTTCATTGGCGAGAATTAAACAAAAAGGAGGTGAAAGAATGGAAACATAGAAGATATTTGATTTTGCAGGGGGCACGGTAGTTGGTGAACGCAAGCCAAGCCAAGAGTATTTAAATTGGTTTCGTGCAATTCTGTATGTGCATATTGCTCCAGACTAATTTTTGATCGACCCTCGCGTGCAAGTTTGTCATCAACAAAACCAACTTCTGCACCAATGCATCAAGATGTGCCACCAACGTACACATCTCAATTTGGGGGGCACGCATCTTCATTCGCTCAACATACATACCAACGCACACAGTCCACCGAACAACACATATTCTATGCATCCTCATCCCAACATAAAACTCCCTACACCTCACTCCATCAACAAAACTACCATTACAACTACAACCAACAATATCATCCTCAACCCAACCTTCAACCACCCTTATAGTTCACTCTTGTTCCTCCGCCAAATTTTGATCAATCAAACCCCCAATTCCAACATCAAACCTTCAACACTTCATCTTCCAACCCACCTCCACCTTCACGTCTGATGATGTCTACTATCCAACCCTCCAATAAACCCAACCTGAAACCTACACCCAACCACTACAACCATCGCAATCATTCCAGAGTTTTTTTTAAATTAAGGTAGTTTGGTATATATTTTTCAAACACTAGAGCACTACAGTAAAAAACTCTAATTTTAACTTTGTTGAATATTTGTTTTTTTTTTATAAATAATTTTATAAATATATGAAAACCCATTATACTCTTGCTTAAATTGATATAATTTGTTTATGATTCAAATGACAT